TTCTGGAAGAGGAATGGCTCAAAATCCTTCTGGCCACTGTGAAGGACTTGTATCTGTCATTCCCAAGACGAATCGATGCTGTATTAGCCCGCAAAAGGAGGCCCTACATCATACTAATAAATTATTGTGGTCTAAAACTAGGTGTTTCAGTTTGATTGTCCAACCCCTGTAAATACCCAGTGACAAGCAATAATTTTGCTTTGTCAGCACTGACAGACCGAGACCATGATGAGATTGGTGGAGTCCCTTCACATCGAGCTGTTCACAATTGATATGTGACAGCAACAGAGAGAGAGGGATGTTTCAAAGCATTTTATGCTCTGCTGTATGTCATGCTTTGTGTAATAAGAGCAAGAAACCCCATGTTTCAATCAGATGTTGAGTTATTGACTTTAAAGGGATAGTTCACCCAAAAATGGAACACCATCATGGAGTTCCAAACCAGTGTTACTTTATTTTGTGAATCACAGAAGGTGAAGTTTAGCAGAATGGTCACGCTGTCCTTTGCATACAATAAAGTGAGTGGTGGCCACAATCAAGCTCTAAAAAATTACAAACTGCACCATAAAAGTTATCATATAATTATAGATGACTTGGAATATAGCAAACAAGCCATATGGATACAGTCACGGTATTTTAGGTCATTTTTTGGAACTTGACAGCCTCTGGTCACGATTCACTTGTGAACATCCTGCCGAAAATCTTCTTTTCTGTTCCATGGAAGAAAGAGCATTGAAAGGGTTTGAAATGACAAGAGGGCAAAAATAAATAATGAGAGATTTTTTTTTTTTGTGTGAACTATCCCTTTAAATGTTCTCTAACGCGCTCTGAAACAGTGAAACCCACTAGAGTGGCAGATTTTCCAAACAACCTTTGCTGGTTTTTAATAACCAGAAAATAATTTGCATGAGAGAGCATCCAATTTACATACCTAGTTGCCTTGTGTGTGTGTGTGTGTGTGTGTGTGTGTGTGTGTGTGTGTGTGTGTGTGTGTGTGTGTGTGTGTGTGAGAGAGAGAGAGTGTTTAAAAACAGATTTTGTTGGAGGAGCTTAGATTGTAGACTTAATTTTCTCTCTCTCAAGTTTCAGTTTTCACTGGGTTTTATTGGAATGACAAATAATAGTGCTACAAAAAACGCAGCAGGTTAGACGCTCTCCGTCTTTCACGTCTTATTTCATATTTTATGTTCCATCCTCTATATAATTGTAACTGGCATGTGAATTGAGTCACATGATCTTGCAGTGGTAATATTAGACAGGTTTAAATTATCACACACCCTCTCATCATAATAATCCTCACATGTACGCTTTCTGCCTTGCTGTGTCCCTGGCAGGAAATATTCTAGGTATAAACACTTTGTGTGTGTGTGTGTGTTTGAGAGATCTTCTTCCTAGGGATGGCAGTAGTGGCCTGTCAGTTCAGTAACCCAAAGAAAGAGCTGATCTAACCACACAGGAAACACTGATAACACCATAACAACAAAGAAAATGTACTACCGTTTATAAGTTGTTTAGTTTGAGTATCAACTTTGTCTCAGATGATTCTCCTAAAATTCCATTTAGGCACAAATGCATTGATGGTTAAATAATTGTTGACTAGTTAGAGTTGTAAAATGAACATGGATAGCATAGCTCAGATAGTTTAGTCTTGTAACAATTTGATGAGAAATGTTTGAGTTCATATTGAGATCTCTTTTTTATTATTATTGCAGACTTTGGTGTCTTGGCAAATCAGAGCACAGATTAAGACATTTTTTGAGATCTCTTCTGGGGATGAAATTATTGGGGCCTAATATTCAGGAGCTGTCTGGGAGAAACAATTGTGATTTTAAGGAGGTTTGTGATTTTCCTTTACTATGCATTTCTGTTGGTTTCTGAAGGTTGGCATTACAGTAATGTTGAATTGTGAAGAAAATTGTATTTCTCTTTAGCTCTTTCCCCGCTGAGTAGAATCTCCTGATCAAAAACCAGGCAAAGAAGCAGCAGAACCAAGAGATAGAAGCATTGCTTTCGTACATGTAAACTATAATGTGTCATCACCATTAAACAGCATATAATTCAAAACTGCCTAACGTTACCAGATGAAATATCAACCCAGAAAGAGATATAGGACTGTGAGGCTTTGAGGGTGTTGATGGAAGTAATCTATGTTCCGATCCAGACGCAGTCTTTCACAAATACTGTTGAGTTGACAAGAGTAAAGAGCTATAAAATTCAAATATACAATAGTTCCGATAATTTGGTCTTGAAAGATCTCACTTAAGTATCAACTTTGTCTCAGATGTTTCTTCTTAAAATTCCTAAATGAATGATTTGATTAGAAATGTTTGAATTCATACTGAGATCTACTGAGTAGACTTTGCCGTCTTGGCAAATCTGAGCACAGTTTGAGATCTCTTTGGAAACTCCAGAGGATCTCCTAAAATTCCTTTTAGGAGAAATAAAATAGACACAATAAGAGTAAAGAGCTATAAAATGAATCATGAGTTCATTTTGAGATCTCAATTAAGTATCAACTTTTAAGTATGCCTATTAAAAGTTCATATTGGAACGAATAAGACTGAACACTTGGTATGTCTGATCACAGTTTGAGACAGAGTTGAGAGTTCTTCTAAAACTCCAGAGAAGAAGCATGTTTGATTCTAGGGTCTTTTTCTTAGGAGAAAGATCTCAATTTAACCTCATAGATGGTAGAAACATGAGATATTGAAGAGATTTTTTTTGTTGTTCCTATTGATCACGAATGTGGCAACACTAAAGAAAAAAAGCACAAATCGAATATCAAAAGTCACTGCAACCTCATAAAACGTTTCAAATAGTGTCTAAAGATACCCCCCACCCCAAATGCACAGGTAGCATATACGTATAAACACGGCGAATTATTCGAACACATCTCTGTGTTGTTGGTATCAGTGTGAGAATGAAAGCACGGTGTTTTAGCTGTCAAATGTTGCTGTTTTTTTTTTTTTCTTGTTTACTGCTGCACGGTCTGTCAGCCGTGGCCTGCGGTACTTCTTTCTTTAATAATACATCTCAGAGTGAGTAATGCCATTTGGATACAGGGAGCTCCGCGCCTGGCCTTTGCTCCCTGCACCTCTCCTCTCTCTATCCCTGGAGTATGTTTCAACCCACGTACGTTTGAAGGAATTCTATTTGCTGGATGCCCGCGTGCTCGTGTGCGCGAGAGCGTGCGCTCGCGTATGTGTGTTTATAAGCTTGTTGAATTGAAATACAGCCGGGCGAGGTGGGGAGGGGTGTTGTTTATTGCAAGGATAGGTGAATATCTCTGTCTTCAGCTCGCACGAGCCACCAGGCAAATAAACTCAGCACATCAAATTTAAATAAATCATATTTTTCACCCGTACATTCCGGGCGAGGATATTTACAGCAGTGAAACAGCTGCTAATGAACTAATGTGTCGGCGACTCGGGGGGGAAAAAATAGTACGCTAATAGCCGGTCATTACATAGCCTACGTGTTCTAAAACAATCCACGGGGAACGTCCGATCACTCTGTCTTTACCTTCCGTTAGTTTATGGCCTGAAACGGGACTGAGTTGATCATAACCATGCAGAGAGTGCCAGGGCCCAGAGCGGCTCTTTATTGTAGATGCCAATTAATGTATCTTGTTCTCTTCTGAAAGTCGATTTCAATTACTTCAGCGTGGGCAAACAAAGGGTGTTAGCAGACATGGCCTCTTCCTTCCCTCTCATAACACTCTCACCTTAATTGCTACTTTGTGAACGAGGGGAAGCTAAAAAGCAAGAGAACAACGGATGGATTTTTTCATCTGCTGTAGGCCTACGTCTTTGTGCCGAGCTCATCTGGCCTTGAAGGGGTGAAAACCGAGTCAGCCGGGCTTTTGTGAGGAATTCTCACCTCTCTTTGAGCGAGAGCTCCTCTCCTCCCCATCTCATCCCTCCATTTCTCCCTTATCACTGATCTGCTTTGTTTCATGCCTAATGTTGTTTAGACGACTATAGCTTGATAAAGAGTTATTTGTTATTCCTGCAATAATTGCGCTGTGTCGTCGCAATATGGTCCAGCTGTCTGGGCCTTCCTGTTTGGACCGTGACGAAATGGTCAACAGGGGGCAGTAGACCACTTTCAATAGCGTGAAATTCAACATGTCTGATTCCTTTGTCTGCTGGTCTGTTAAAAGCCAGTTACCAGAGCTGCTTTCTTTTTCCATTTACCTTGAATATTGAATATCATATTGATATTATTGAAGCGATTTTTATCAAAGGTGACGAGGTGGAATTGGAAATGATGGCGATTGGTAGCCGGTCTTCTATATAGGCTAGGCCTACATATATATTAGCCTATGTGTGTGTGTGTGTTTATATGCACAGTTGCCTTTTTCAATAGAGTTGAATGGAAGCAGATGAATCATGTTTCATTCAATACAACCTTAATATAAATCCCAAAAATTGGATTACTCATTATATTATTAGTCAAAAATGTGTAGGAAATCTTCCAAAATCTTATTTTTAAGAAATTTTAGTAGGTATATTAATAAGGAATGTTTACATAGAGATCTGTTTATGATCAAAGTCATGTCGTATGGATTGATTATTCACATCTATCTGTTGGGAATAATCTCAGATATGAAGAAAGCATCTTTCAAACAATTTTAGGCCTTTTTAATCGGAAATGTCATGCTCAAAATGTGCATTAAACCCCCCCAAAAATCCAAATGTTCCTTTCCTACTGGCATTTTCTACACTTTAAGATGGATACTGACTGTTTTCCACTCTGACAGAAGCACAAATCTAGCCTAATAAACGTCTGTATGTATTCACAATTAAATAAACAATATATTATTTCTTTTCTCTGTGCCTACAGTGCCGTGTCAGTCACCATATGCCGGAAGAGAGGAGCAGGGAGTCGTATCACGATGGTAGTTTTTTGGTGTTGTGAGAGGGGGGGAGTCAGAGCCGAGGGCTCACGGTGCATGTAGCACATCAGATCTCCCTCAATTAATCCAACATTAGGTGCCTGGGATCCACGAGTCAGTGCTTTTGGAAAGCATGTGTGGCTCAAATCTAATTATTCTCTCCCTTCCTTTGAGCCGGAGAGGGTGGAGAGATATATAGAGAGAGAAAGAGAGAGTGGCCATCCACGTAGCTATAGGTTTTGTTATGCTGTGATTTCTCTCTCTCCCTCGCTCGCCCGCTCACTCCGAACCCCCTTCTTCCCCCACCTCCTCCTCTCTCTCACTCATTCTCCATCTCTCTCTCACACACACACGCGCCAAACACACTCTCTCTCCTCCTCTGCCTCTCTCTCTCCCCGTCTGTCTCTCCCTCCCTCAGCTTCACTCGCTCTTGTGCTGTAAGTTCATTTGCTGTGTCAAGCAACAACTGGCTCGGGAGTGGGCAGTGGGTTTTGATCCTTTTGTCAAGCGTCCCCTCTGTGAACGTGTACCGCGTCCACCTGCACACCACAGGACTGCCCGCCTGGCTCGCTCCAACATCGGCGTACCGTCCTGGGTTTATCACCATCAGGCATCCCACCTTGCTTAGGCGGGCGGCACGACGAGATGCTCAAGGTTTGACGGGGTAAGTCGCATCCACATGTGGACTCCATCGCTTCTCCTTTTTTCCCAAACATATTGTTTTATGTCAGTGTGATTGGGTGACGTTTTTTCGTATTTTTTAACATTTTTGTCATTTTTGCCGGTGTGGTCTACACCTTCTGATGCTTGTGTCAAGTGTCTCGTGAAATTACCATATTCATGGGCTCCATTCAATTAAATTGCAATCAGTGAAGGGTCCAGCTCGAAGTGTTTTTTCTTTTTTTTTTAGTGCAGGGTGGAATAGCGCAGATCGCTTGTTTAGAAAGGGAGGAGTGGAGGAGAGGTAGAGAATACAGATCTGGTCATATTTTCTGCTGCTAAACTTAAAAAAATATATACATTTTTTTAAATAAAAAAGACTGAGTGAGCTCTTGCATGAAGATAGAATTAAAAAACTGTAGGACCAATATATATATATATATATATAATTCAACGGAGGAAAAAAAAGAGATGCTCCCAGAGGAACTTTGGCAAAGACAAACAAACCAAAAAAAAAAGCACAAAATCTATGCATGGAGACCATTGATTAACTCCTGGAGTTCTAAGGGGGTTTGGACGAGGGTCGAGTCCCTGGTTGCTCTGAGTGTGTGTGTGTGTATAGCTTCAGAAATGGACAGAGAAAGCGAGAGCCCTGGGGCTATAGCACTGGGGGAGTGTGCCCTGCGTCAGGGTGCATGTGTGTGTGTGTGTGTGTGAGGTGCGTCTCATGGTTATGCAGACTGGGGGTCTGGAGAGCGAGCGAGCAGCCGGCTGCTACACTGCCGGTGTGTGTCCGTACGGTGGCTTTTGTTGCGTTTGTGCTCGAGTCCAGCTTCTCCCTCTCCATCTGCCTCCGTTAGCTTCTCCTCCAGTTTCTTGAGCTGCCTTCTCTCTCTGTGTCGTGTGGATTTCAGCACGAGAACTGATTGTGTTTCTCGTTTTGTGAATGATCGGTGTAAAACAGAAAAATATTTTTGGGTATGTATGCAGACTATAATTATGTAGGTTATTGTTTTAAGTGGTGTCATTTTTTTTATTCATATTTTTTTTGCAGGAAATAGAGGTAAATATGATAATAATATAACATTTCTAATCTTACAAATTATTATTATTATTTATTTATTTTGAAAAATCTGTTTTATTGTGTTAATTTGTTTTTAAATTATGAGTCATTTTGATATACTGTGTTTTATTGATCAAAATATTATTCTGGAAATTGAGAAAAGAGCTAATTCTATAAAATATTGGAAACTCATGTTACTGCAAGTGAATACAAAAAATACCTTAAAATGGCCTGTTTAAAAAAATGTAATGATCCTAATAGAATTAGTTAAAAAGTGAAATTTTTCTTATTTTAAACAAAATAGGCATATTTCACAGGTATGTTTGTCAGCTGAAATAACATCCTTTATATCTTAAAATTAGTATGGCACCACAATAAAAAAAAGCTAAAATAGATAAATGCACTAAATTACATTCAATGTTAATGCATTTTAAAGATAATCTAATTCAGACCTGTTTTGCCATAAAATGCACAAATCTCTACGTAACATGATGCATTAATACAAGTTGCAATTTTTTTTTCTTCTTCAAAAGAAGCCTTCTCTCATAGACTAATCACACAGTTTAGCCCCCACCTCCTTTTTTCCCTCCCCCCGTCATCCTCAAGTGGGGTGTAGAGGGGGGGCCGCCATGCTTCATTTGAGTCCGTGTCTCCATATAGAATTCTCCTCACGGTGCTAATGGACTGTTTGGCTAATTTTTCCCCCCGTTTCTATATCATTTAGACAGATGAGATGTGCAGCATGTGATGAAGTGGACCATAGTAGGATTTATATCCAGAGCATCCTGCTCTATCCTAACCCCCGGTGGTCTGTGTTTTTAGGTGAACCCACTACAGTGGACTATCGTCATCATCAGAATCCCCGCCGTGGCAATGGGAGTCAAGACATGGACGTTTCCCGGAGGACCTCCGCTGGGTCCTTGCATCCCAGGTGAGTTTATGCTGTTGGGGGGGGGGGGGGGGGGGTGGATTACCCATAACCCCCTTCCACCACCTCCCATCCCCCGCTCCTTCATTAAATGCACCTTTCCCCCGAGTGGCCCTGTGAGAGCACAGATTGCTGGGAGGAAATAGCACAAAAAAACACTTACCACATATTTCCTCTGAGGCGTTTACTGAACAAAAATGCACTGTTAATTTCTGTTTGCAGACGAGCCGTTGAGGGGCCCTTGCCTTGCGCTACAAAGCGTCTTCAATCAATTGTTTTGAAAAGGCCGCGTTTTCCGAACGGCCGCGGACGATGCCGGCGGTTCGGTTGTTTCTCTCTGTAAAAGACTCTCTTCGGTGACGGGTATTCTTGGGTGGATAATACGGCTCTCGTTGTTATTGCTTAAGAATACGCGTAGTCGAGGAGAGTCATACCGGCGGCGCCTGCAATGGACTAGAGAGAGCGTTGAATCCAGAAGGCCCACCTGCCTGCACACACACATGCGTTTGCTAACGCCGAGGTTCACGCCCACATCCATTTATTGAGTCAGCGAAGCTGCATTTCCTGTTGTGTGTGATGCTTGTGCTGTTGATTTATCCGCCTGCTCCCACTAAACATCTTTTCAGCCACCGGAAAAGGAAAAACTGGGTTTTTTGTTGTTGTTGTTGTGATTTGAGTTCTACGGCGTCTTCTTCACCGAAAGGGAAAGCTGTATACTGTAACGTGCCGGGCGGGGTTGTAGATGCATTGCAAATGTGTTCGGTTTGTGCCATATATTCTTTTCTCAGGACTGCACACACTCCACCTTTTTAATGCAAATTGATTTTGAAATGACATTTATTGTGCAGGGTTTCCATATGGAGGGCTGGAGAGAGAGAAAAAAAAATGGAATGAAATGTCCACGATGCCACTGACAGCTAAATTTATGCGGATTGTAAAGGAACACACTGCAGATAAACAGTTACCACGGCTTTAGATTGACTGCGGCGTGGCTTGCCATGTAGGCACGCGTATATCATGAATATGTATCAGGCGAGCGTATGATGCTGCATTCTAACGTCCATGAAATCCATTTAGGGAACCTAATAGGATCTACTCGACTTATGAAAGCTTACGATCAGGTCTGATAAATATACATGAGATTGCTTTATAAGAAAGTATTCTTTTGCTTTTTATACTTGTATCTATTTTGCATAAAAACAAATAGATTGCATTTGGACCGGCTGTTGATGTATTGACGTGGACGATTTGTAAATCTGCAAACATTTTAATTTGTTCTCCATTATCATTCAGCACATTTAAGTGATGTATTAGCATTTCAGATAGACTAAAGGCAACAATCAGCCCGCTCCATCCTTGATCACTCTGTAATTATCGTTCTTTCGGCTATGTGTTTAAATGAATAGAGAGAAAAGAGGTGCGGAGGAGGAATATTGTCACGGTTTACCACTAGGGGACCCACACAACTGATTAGTTCAGATCAGTTTTTAGTCTGTTTAGACTAACCAAACTTTTCAAGTCGTTTTTGAAGTCATTCTTAAGGGTGCATAAAAATATATGTTTAGATGTAAACAGGTTTTGGCAGCTTAAAAAGAATGTGTTTTTATTTTTAGCGTGTACACTCAAAATGAATGGAATTTCATTTATTCCTTTATTAATTTATGCTAAACAGTGCCTTAGGAGTGGCAAATGTGAAAAAGGTCACATGCAACCCATTTGATCAATGGGTTTTTATATAGAATATTTATCTGTATTTAAGATTAAAATATGTTTTTTTTACTAAAATATCCTACAGAGTATATTAACAGAATTTCTCTCTTATATAATTTTATTTGATGATGTTGAGTAAATATCTCGCTGTTTAACTTCCATCTATCTAGAGTTTATGACGTGATGAAATTATTCAAGCCTCTGCAGCTCCTTAATTTGCTCTTTATTGAAATTATTTTTATATGCACATCATCTTTGTTCCTCCCCCTCATATTATAAATAAAGCTTGATTTAAGTAAAATTATGATGCATTTTGTATATTTTGTCCTTTATAGGTAAAGAATCAGTTTGAATTTAGGTCATGAACAAATATGAAAGCCAAATATATATATATATATATATATATATATATATATATATATATATATATATATAAACAAATATATATGCACGAACACAACAAACAAACAAACTAACTAACCATGAACAGAAAATTTGGGTTAATATATATTCATACATAATATATTAGTTTTATTCTGTATACTGTTGGTTTTAGTATGCTTCAAAAAGCATTTGTCATAATGTTGAAATGTATTTATATATAATTGCCTTGGATTCTTTTGCTTGGTCTATTGACACCATTGAACCCTCTTTATTTGTTGTTGTCTGAGCTTGTAGCATTTGACATTATATTTCAAGACACAATGTAGCTCCAAACAACAACAAAAATAGCCAGAGTGTTTCCGGTTATCATCATATTAGAAAACGCTAATTTGCTTTTTGTGACAGGACAATGTCCAACTCTCTATATATGATTTTTCAACTGTAGAATCAGCTGAATTCACATTTGAATTCACATAGTTGCAAAAAGCCTTAAATTACAGACTAGATCTATCTCCACAGGGGCTTTAATGAATTTCAGAGGATATGAGATATTGACAAGAAGTGGAGCATGTTTATCAGTATCTTTTTTTATTATACCTTTCTAGATATTGTCCACTTTGCCCATTCAAATCGAAACCAAATTATGTAAGCTTTGCAAACATTTAAGGTATGAATTATTCATTTATTCACATGACTGTATGATGGAGTATTAAATAGTGTTTTTTTTCCCCCTTATTTTTGCAATTGATAATTGTTTGACTAATGGATAGTCATTCAACTAATTGGTTTACCTTTCCTGGTTGTGTTGGTTGGTATTTACACCCAGCACAAAGGCCTGACCAACAGGGATATTTTTCTTTTATAGGCTCAGCATTTTTAAGTGAGCTCTTTTATGGGATGTTCCTCATTTTCTTGTGCATGATGTCATGATGCTCTATCATCCCAGGATTATAATGCTCTTCTCCACAAATAAGATCAGTGGCATTAATCAATTGAAAATGTGCTGCATTAGCATATGTTGCACTCAGTACAGGAAACTACCAACAATCAAAACTTTGGACACGCTTAACTGAATTGGTGATTCTCGTGGTTTTAAAAACCCTTTGTTTAAAGGTTTATGCTTAGATGCTTGAAATTAGTTTATAGCAGCCAAAAGTAGTGACCGTGGGGATATTTGTTTTCAATGACCAAGTTCAATTAAACCATCAAAGTATGAGGGAAATATTTTATGTTTTAAATATGAGGGAAGAACAAAACTTTACAAAAAAAAAAGCCAAACTACAGCTACAGGTGTATTTTACTACGCAAAAAAAAGAAAGAAAGAAAGAAAGAAAGAAAGATAAAAAACTAGATAGAAAAACAAAAAGCTCATAGGAGAAAGCCTACAACATAATCAGTTATTAATATTTCGTTGGTTCTCTTGTTTTTGCATGTGTTAATAATATATTTTTCTGACAGCCTGGTCAAAAATTATTTCCGCACAATTTGCCATGTTTCATTGCGTTATCAAAAATAAAACAATTTACTTCAAGCACAACTATGCAATATGCTTACAAAATCATGAACACATTTTTAAAAATATTGAAGGGTGTCAAAGATGTCATTTTTCTTGTTTTTTTATTTTTGATATTTTTTCTCTTTATATTTTACATGGATTTTTTTTAATGAACTAATAATGGATAAAGTGGGCCATATAGTGAAGGAAAAGCAGCCAAAAATTAACCAGTGAACTTCAATAATGTTTGAAAAGCGTCCCAGGATTGTGAAGTTGGTTGAGCAAATGATTTTTCTCAACATACTTTTATCTCAGTATTTTGATTACTGTGCTTCGAAAATATGGAAAATAATCAAACGAAAAGAGTAGGTGTGTCCAAACTTTTGGCTGGTGGTGTTCCTACAATCTCAAAACATTGCAACTTTCAACCACACCAGATCAAAATCCTCAGAACATTTCAAACAGTCAACTTTAGCTCTGAACCTCATAATCTCAGGCCTGTTGAGACTCACAGCATGTCCATTTCTTACGGAGGCCTGATACAAGCCACTAAGCCTTGTTACTTTAATTACAGTCCTGCTTTGTATTCTTCCATAGGTGTGAGATCGGCTATCACGTGTATCGTTTCAGAGTTTAATTTCAGGCGGGAGGTGAAGCACGCTAAGCTAGTGAAGTCGAACCTGCAGATATCTTTAATAAGGTTACACTATGGATGGGCTTTAGGTTGGTTTAAATAGCCGCCTATGAAATGTACCCACATCAGTGGCTCGCTGATAGAGGCTTAGCAATCTATTTAAAAACCAATTTATTTCCACAGTATTGGAGCTGGTGCAGATTGAACGCCAGAGTGAGATTCTCCACTTCCAAATTCTCAGTGGACACCTCTCATCCCATTCTGGTGCAATCGCTCTCTCTCTCTCTCTTCATCTCCTCGCCTTTATCGCTCTTCTCTTCACAAACTCTGGTGACTTATATTCCTCCAAGAGTGTTCAGTAAAAACCCTGTCGGCCTGAAAAATCCCCAACGATGTCAAGATCACAGACTATACTAGAAAACACAGTTAAGGGCTTTCACTGACAGTAGGAAATTAAATATTAGACACAAAAGGTGTCCGTTTGTCTGTTTTTGAAGTGTATGCACTGCAAAAATCATTTTCTTAATCAGTATTTTTGTCTTGTTTTATAGTAAAAAAAATATCTTAACCCTAGTGAAAAATAAATATACTAAAATGTATTTCAAATACATTTATTTAATGCTTAGTATGCTACAAATACATTTACATATTGTGACCCTGGACCACAAAATCAGTCACAAGTCGCACAGGTATATTTGTGGTAATAGCCAACAATACATTGTATGGGTCAAAATTATCGGTTTTTCTTTTATGCCAAAAATCATTAGGATATTAAGTAAAGATCATGTTCCATGAACACATTTTGTAAATTTCCTACCGTAAATATATAAAACTTTTATTTTTGTGAGTGAATGGAGCACAATCACGAACATAAATGGACAACTTTAAAAGCGATTTTCTCAATGTTTCGATTTTTCTGCACCCTCAGATTCCAGATTTTCAAATAGTAGACTCGGCCAAATATTGTCCTATCCTAACAAACCATACATCAATGGAAAGCTTATTTATTAAACTTTCAGATGACGTATAAATATCAACTTCAAAAAATGGACCCATGTGACTTGAGTACTTAAATACCCTGCAATACTTTTGTTATGCTTAATCGATATACTTAAAGTCTGCTAAATTGGAACAGCTAATTTTGTTCTTCAGTTATCCGGAAATAGTGCTGAGGTGCAAATAAAGATATACTTAATTATATTTGAGTGTGCTAAAGTGAAACTATTGACAAGTATAATTTAGGTACACTTTAAATATCTTGCATTTAAAGACAGAGATCACACTATGTTTTCATATCTAATAGTGATATTAAAACACATTTTAGGCTTAATATTAAGAAATGTGCATTGTGCAATAAAGAAGTACTCCAAATAAAGTTTAATTATATTTATATCAGTAAGTCTCAAGTGATATATGTCAGTAAATATGTTAATGGATTTGTAGTAGCCAATACTTAGAATGAAATACATGTATTTTAAATACATTGTGGTGTAGGTTTTTTTCACTAGGAAGCATATCTTAAAACCGGAAAAATTTACTTAAGCAACATTGTGTATGATGTTTACACTTTGACAAATAGTTTTGTCTTCTAAAATTGTTGGGTAATAACAAAATAAATTATTATCACAAGAAAATGTGGGTAAGCAAAAAAAGAAATCCCAATATTCTATACAATTTTGACTCACAAGTAAATTGACTTCCTCCCAAAAGCTTGTGGTCAGTAAGATTTTTTAACATTTCTTAAAGTCTCATGCTCAAAAAGGCTGCATTTATTTGATCAAAAATACAGTAAAATTAGTAATATTGTGCAATATTATTACAATTCCTTTTTCCCCAATTTTAAATATTTGACAGTGTAATGTTTCAGTATCATTACTCCAGTCTTCAGTGTCACATGATACTTCAGAAATATGCTAATATGCATTCTAATAGGCTGATTTAATGCTCAAAATTCTTCCTATT